TTAAAAGGTAAGAAATTTGTAAGTCTTTTGCTAAGTCTATGTTTCAGATATGTTAGAATTTTCAGTAGAAAGTCTATGTTATGTTAATATGGGAAGTCTAGATGTTTAATATAGAGACTTGTTGGTTGGCATAAATGAATACGTAAGATTGTGTAAGTAAGGAAGATTTCGAACTATGTATGGAAAATGTAGATTTCTACAAGTTTAAGAAAGTTTTGGATTGATAGTTAATGATATCCATGTTTATGTATTTTAGTTTGGAATCAAGAGAAGTGAGTTAAGCGGATCAGTTTCAAGTATTAAGTATAAGGAAAGCTGCTTACAGGAAAGCTTTTGGTTTAATGAGTTTTCTCCTTTCTTGTTGATCCACCATAATCCAGTGAGATGATGGTTAGGATATCTGTATGTTTGTATGTTTTATATGTCAGATACTTAGCATAGTTGCATTCATGTAGACTATATGATATGATATGATAAGATATGATAAGTATGGTTCTTGATCAATGAACAACTCTGTGGGGGGACTTCGGTTCTCGGAGAATAACTGTAGACTGGTCAGAGTGAGAAATTACGCTTTGGGAGTTCATAGACTGGTCAAAGTGAGAAATTACGCTTTGGGAGTCTTCTGATAAGTTATAAGTTATGATATGTTTATATGATGTTTTCTATGCTATGTATCTAACCTTTCATGCAGTAAGTGAACTCATAGGTGGAGATTACTTCATAAACCCAGAGTCTTATTGGGATTAATTTCTCACCTGTCATGGGCTGTGATTTAAATCACAGGTACATCAGTAGTAGGAGAGCATACTCAGGGCAAAAGGCCAATGCAAAGTGGCTAGAAGATAAAGTTGCAGTATTAGTTTTATATATTAGCATATGTTATAGAAACATGATTAGATATGATGCATGTTATAGTTGACATCTATTTTGATAGGCAGATGTAGCCTATGAACAAGTTTATATGTTCGATGTTACTTTCAGTATGTATTTGGTATGAGTTTGATATTCAGTATAATATATGATGTATATTCAGTTTCATGATTTGTATATTTGTTACGATTATTAATTATAAGTTATGGAAAATAATTAAGAAATCTGTACATGTATGGGACTGTACAGATAATAATAAGAGATTCAATAATGAATTAAGCATGGAAATACATATAAAAAGAAAAGAAAAAGTTTACTCACCTAATTACACTAAGTAATGGTGAAATGCAAATAAAGTCTTCCGCTAAAGAAATTTTCATGCGCACAAAAGTACCATATGTAAGTTAACAATCCGATTTAATGAAATTGGGGCGTTACACTTCCCATTTGGGCATGCACCATATTGCTTGTAACATCATCAACATATAACAACAACTTCCTCATTCAACAAGCTCGTTTAACGAATCGTCACTCCATTCCCTCATTCCAAATTCCACCAACCAGTATACAGATTTTTAGTGTTCTTACCATGGTGATAGGGGTTATAGTATATGAACGCCACTTTGTTCCCATTGCTCGTAGATTTACAGGGAACCCTTTTGGCATCACATACCTACAGAGAATGGGAGTAGGCCTTGGGATTAACACAATGGCCACCCTTATTTCAGCATCTATTGAGAATAAAGATAGAAATCGAAAAAAAAAATAACTCATGTAAATCTAACTTTTTTCCTCTTTCATTCAAAACAGTACTCATAACATTTCATTTCAGCAAAAATACACTATGTACATTTTCCTTCATTGTTAGCCTACTTCCAACAAAAATACATATCATGACCAGACCAACAATGGTAGCAACTAAGACCCTAGTTGACCTACCAATATACCTAATTTCCTTCTCCATCTTATCTAACTCAGGAACCATCTTTAGTGATAGCTCCTTAATCTTTCTTTCCTGCTCATTAATCTCTAGTTCTTGCTCATTCAGCTTAACATACAATTGTTGGTCACTCAGCTTCATGTCCACATACTTCAACTTGAATTCCATTTTAGCTACATCCAACTTCACCTTGTTTATTCTTTCTTCTTCCAGCTCTATCCTTTCATTACAAGTATCATCCACCCATCTAAAAAAAATCACAATATGACTTCTTCTCCTACCAGCAAAAGAAACCAAGGTCAGAATAAGTTTCAACTTCAATCAAAACAAATTAAAGATGTATACCTTGAAATTGAGGCACCAAAAGAATGCTCTATTTGGATTTCTGTCAAATTTGGAGGTATACACAATAGTTTGCCTCCCACATTTACACCTTCGACCAGCAGTCCATGTAAAGGTTCTACCACTAATTGAAGTACTTCCACTTGAGCCCCCATGCCAGAGAAACACTCACATTCTCTTACTACATTGCGCCCCAATTGAAGTAATATTGTTGTATATTGCAGAAATGAACGTGAAAATGATTTGGAAAAATTTTAAGTGTCAACTGAGTTAGGGTTCTGTATTTACCCTTCTTGCAACGTCAAGTCATATTCAAAACGGTGTCGTCCTTTGTCCAGCGTGGATTGTCACATTGTGACTCAGCAAACTAACGTTTCACGTGTGCACAGTTACAAAACGTCGTTGGATGCCAACTAACATAAGGACTAACGTAGCCCTTTTTTCAAATTACAAGGACCACGAGTGGCCTTTTTTATTTCTAAGGACCAAAAAGGGCATCGTGAAATTTGTTAGGGACCAAAAAGGGTATTTACTCTAAAATAAAATGTTTAGAACCCATGTGGGGTCACATGAAGAGAAAAGAGAGAAAAAGAAAACATTAACATTTATGTATGTAGAAGATAAAATTTATCTTCTATAATATGAGAGACATTAAACCCATAAAAAAATGTATATATCTGAGTTTAATTGAATATATGAACAACAATTGCCAATTAGTTTTTTCTTTCCTTTTTTTAATATGGCAATTCCATATTAGTTTATGGGTTCGCTTTTTCTGCAGTTATTACAGATAAGTTATCTGCAGTAAGCCACTACGATATCGTTTTGGGACGGAAATCATGATATTTTTGTAATTTTAATTTATTTCAGGATTATAATAGTCTTTATATTAATAATTTTTTAAGATTTCAATACCAAAACGACGTCATTTTAAGAATAAATGCAGATAACTCAACTGCAGTAACTGCAGAAACATTTTCCCCTTAGTTTATACTGTGTGAACTGTTTTTTTTTTTGGTAAGCTGTGTGAACTGTTTTTTTATTTCTTTATTTTCTTATGTTGTTGCCATGCGGCAATTCCTGATTACGAAAAGAAATATTAAGTTGAGAAAGAAAAGGCAGATAAAAAAAATCAGATTCTCGCAAGTGATAAATAAAATAATTTCAGAAAAATTAATGAAAAAGCTACTTAAAGGGAATGCTTAGTTTAAAGTGGTATAAAAAGTAAATCATTATATGGACTATTGTATTTTATTTAATAAAAAAAGTTAGAAAAAATATCATAACTTCATATCTTTATAAACAATTATTTATAAATTTTTTTTGGTATAACCTGGAAGTATCTCCATTTAACCTCGTTTGGTCACCTTGCCCTCATGATACGGCATGTAAGCTAGCCCCTCATTGGAACAGCTGGTGCATTGAACTTCGCTACCGGAGAAAGGATAAGACTAATTCCCCATTCGAGGAGGGCACATCCTCTGACTCCCAAAAATTTTCTTGAGGCAAGATTTGAACCAAGCAAACCTTTTGGAGCTCAGTTGCCAACTGAGCTATCCTTGGGATTCAATTATTTATAATTAATTATTGAACAAATGATCATTTATAATAATAATAACTCACAAAATTATTATTATTAAAACTTTATTTATAATTGTTGTTTACTTGACAATAAATACTCATTTAAATAAAATAGTCTTTTAATTTATTTATTTTTTTGTTTTTTTACCGATTTATGATTATTCAATTATTTTGGTTCTAGCCAACAGTACGACAATCACAATGGCGATAAAAATTCTGGCTGTCAAATTTTTAACTCAATTGCATCATAGAACTGAACTTGAGCCTAATGAAACTGAATCTTAATAAACAAAAAAAATTAACATCATTTATTATTATAATACAATAGAATAAATGACTACTCTTGGGCATCATACAGATAAAGACCAATTTACTCTAGCTAAGAATTGTTGGTCTAACGATGATCCAACCAGAATTTGACCTACTAAAAAATAACTGAGTTCAAATTCTAAGAGTCATAGTTTCTAAGAAGAATAAAAAAACACAAATTGACTTTGAATATCGGTTGGTATCTCAAAAAACCAAAATGAGCTACCACGATAGGTACTCAAAAAGCCAATTCACTTGATAGGTACTAATTATTTGCAAAATTCTTTATAACTTCATAATTTAATATTAAACTTTATTTATATGCTATTAATTACTCGATAAGAACAAATAATAGAATTGTTATGTACAAAAAAAACATAATAATAATAGAATTGTTAAAACGAACCGGACAAGTAACTCGTTTATTTACGAAAATACATGAATTGGACTTTTAACTTATAGACAATGTTTAAACTTTTATATCTCTTACTCAATTTATTTACCCGGTTAGATTAAGTAAATTCACTCGTTTAACTCGCAAACTCATCTTTCACTCCGGTTTTATTTTTATTTCTATTTTTTACAGTTTTTTGAAAAATACCCTACATAATAATATTATCAAAAGTAAAAAAGCCTAAAATAAAATAAAAACTGGAAATTTCAAAAACCAGCAACAGTAAGCTTGGATTTGTCAACAATTTACTAAAATCAAATAACCTTTCAGTAAAGATTATAACCATTCACATATATCTTCATAAAACATTTTTAATTCTCTTTTTCGGAAATAAAGAAATTTTATATAATCCTTCATAATAATTTAATTTTTTTATATTTCTTAAAGATTAAACACTCCTCCCTAACTGTCCAAGTTGATATAGTTTGCATCTAAAAAATCTTCAGTTTTAAATGACACATTTGTCAGTTTTACACCTGTGAAGAAATTGCTAGACCATCAACAACTTTCTTCCTTTTTATTCCATAAAATCTTACATACATACATCATAAGGAAGATTCATACAACACTTCAATTTTCACAAAAATTCTAACCCACAATAAAGAAAACACAAAGAAAACAAACAGTGGCTGAATTTTGAAGAAGCATCATAATAAGATACTAGTTTTATATATGCATAGTAGTAGTAGTAGTAGGGTTAGCCAGTGCCAGTAACTCCAAGGTCTTTCTTGTTCTCATCTTTACCAGCACCAAACACAGGACCACCTTTGCCAGCAGGGTCAGTAACCTTCTCCTGAAGCTTATCCACCTGAATGCTACCTTGATCCTCCCATGAACGCAAATCAGTCCTAGTTTGATTCTTTCCTCCATCTACTGACTCATGTTGTTGCTGTCTTTGACTCTTTTGGTTGTGCTCCTTGTGCCCCTGACATCTTTTTCTTTCTTTGTTTTCACCTTCTTCTTTTTTTACTTCCAACCTATGATTTAACTCTTAGTTATGGTAATTTTTATTCTACATGCCCCTATGTATATATATAGTTTGGCACTAACAATGTGACAAGCTAGGTGCAATAATGCTACCCCTACCCCATATCAGCCCACGTGGAATGCTAACTGCCATGGAGTTACACGTGTTATAACCCTTGCCACATTGCACTTGTGCTCTTATTTTCTGCCACGTTTTGTAGTTTTCAAGTTCCTAGAAAGTACAAACACATGCTCTTTGGAATGGGTTGTTACTTATATTTTTTTAATAAGTACAAACAATAATCAATAAATTTTACTTCCACTTAAGGTACCAATACCAGGAAAAGGATAGATAAGTACTGGTGTAATCCTCAGAATGGGTTTTTACCCTTATCTTTGGTTATAGAAGATAACCATAAACCTATTACTAACTTGAGTCCTATCCAGCTCGCTCTGATTTTCAATTTAATAGTCTACCTTATGTAAGATATAATATGAAATTATTCATAAAAAAAATCAAGATATTAGATGAAATTATACACAGAGAAACCAACTAAAATGCCTAGTAAAGCACCAGCTATGACTTCAAACTCTGTGTGGCCAATAGATTCTTTTAATGGGAAAAGACCATCAGCATCCAACTTTGAGATTTCTTCTTCCCAATCACTTTGCCTTATTTTGCTTCCTGATTTAACTAATAGACGTGCATTTGCTTGTTGTAGTTCCAAAGAAGTGGCTTCTTGGGACAAAAGGGACTTCTCAAGACCTTCTACATTTAGTGGCTTTGATAATCCTGGTTGAGAGTTGATCAAACCATCTCTATCTTTGGAACGCAATGAGTTGACATGCATTTGGAGCAGTAATTTGTTCAGTGTCCTAGCATGAATCCCTACTTCTCTTCTTACACCCTGCAAATGGCAGAAACCACACACTTTATTGTCAGCTAAACAGTTCACATTAAAAAAATCTGTTACAAAACCAGCTATTTGGAAGGATTCCTTTGGCTGTAGACCTTCCAAATGGCTGGTTTCGTAATAAAATCACACCATTAAACCCCGACTAATGAGGGAGATGAGAGCAAAATTTGTATGCAGACTTATCTTTGCATATTTGCAAAGACCCTTTTTCTAGAGTTGAATCCGTGACATTTCAATTGCAAAAGAGCAGTTCTCCTAAACAAGCGACATTGATAAACAAAAACAACCAATTTCTACAATTACAACAAAAAGAAAAAGATTTTGTTGATTAATATTAACACATCCACTTGCAAGTTTTTATCTGTGACAGCAACTAACTGTAGCCAATGTTTTGTCATAGTGAGAATAATTACAGGGTGAAAAAAAATTCAAGAAAAGATATAAGTAAATTACAGGGAATGAAATGAACAATACAAGGAGACTAGTAGGTCAGGATCCCTAAAAGTTGCAACACGCTTTTTTAAGTGCAAACATGCAATATAAGATAGCTACTAAGTAGAATATGATCAATATGCGCTAGACATAGTTCAGGCTTGTCGATAAGATAGTCCATTAAAGGTTTTTAAGCAGTTAATAATTAAAAATTAAATCTTAATCACACTGAATGGTTGCTAAATGGGAAGAACTAGAGAAAAGCATTGATAACCCGATCTACTTGCAGACCGCATCATATCAACTCTCTTTAAGAGTTGAAAAAATCTTAATCTGAGGACTCAAGCTACCATCTATCCATCATTTGGCAACTGAAACAAAACTAAAAATGCTTTTGATGAATTTTTTTACGACCATGCATACAACAAATTTCTGGTCATAATTTCTTTCCCAATTGTAATCCCAAGAGACATCGTATGCTTACTTTCCTTATAGTATCTACATTCATTAAATTTATTGCTCTTTCTATAGGTTACAAAGTTAATGAACTGCTAAAGTCAAAGGAGATGAAGCCTATATAAAGGAGAACAAATGAAGTACATGCTACAATCTAAATCTAAGCATGCAACAAAAACCAAATTGCCAAAATTGTTGACATAACATCAAAAGAAGGGACAAACATTATCCAACTAAACATAGTATACCATGTTCTTTGCTATGCAGTTAAAGATAATTACTTGCATGTATATAATTATTTAATTATTTCCAAGAGAGAGAGAGAGAGGGGAAAGAACAATAATAAAACTTTCCAATTATGCAAGATGGAAATCCACTCAAATCTATTAAACCATCTTCCTAATCCAAGGAGTGAATCCCAAGAAGCCTCAAAAAGCTTTCTGTTTTAGCCTTTGAGACATATATACTAGGAATCAAAACAAAATGAAAGATTAAAAATAATCATAACATGGCATGCTACAATATAGTCTCAGAGATCTCCACTGACCCCAAATACAGAGTCAACTTGCCACAACCATAAGATGCCTCCTTGCATCACTGGTTTGGCCAGTGGAGACTGTCTTGAAAAGAAAAGTACCCTTGTTTTCTTTTGATTTAAGCCTAATTCAAGTCACAGCCTTCAAGATGCAACTATCATTGTCTAGTTCTGTTGCAAATCCTAATAACAACCTTTCTAATACAATTACTCAACAGGGTAAAGTTTCCCTAACTCCAGTCTTATTAACCCATATAAACCAGATTTAAAGAGTATATCAAACTACTACCTCTAGAAAAATCTTTTTTGATCATATTCTCTCTTTTCAAACCTAAGTAACCACTTCACATTCATTAGGTCCACCATTTTACTAAATTGTTCCAAAAATAAAAATTCAAACATTATCTGTGCTGATAGGAAGCTCTGAAATCTACCATGGCACATTAACTAGAAAGATAAAAAATTAATGATCAAAGTGTTATAAGTGACTTGTATTTACTTTTGGGCTTTAACAATGACAAGTGACCTAACCTGACAAACCTGAAGTCCACAACAAAAGAAGGAATTTTCACGGAGATTATGTGGTAGAAGTTCCCCACGGTACAGACCTATATATAAATTGTTAATCCAGGGTTTAGGTCATCTTATAATATCTTTCACAGTGAGCTTTGGGCAGGAAGGAATCAGAGATTGAGTGTTGAGTGACTACTCCTTGAAATCTTCGTTAGTCACAGTGAAATTTCTCTCCATTTCACCCGTATACATAGGTTGAACTGAACCACATTAAATTCTATTTTGTTTTCTCTTCTCTTTAGTTTCTGCTGGGCATCTGGTTATTGCAAATGTTTTACGAACATACGTTGTTCCAGAATTATAACATCTCGTATAAAGCAAGTAAGAAGCTACAAGGGAAAAATTGAAATAAATCTGTTCTTGTTTACCAATACCACCATGGTAAGAATTCCACAAATAGTTTTATCATTCATTAGAAAAACACATAGCAACAATACTCAATATCTTAGTAGATCTTGATTTTAATCCTGCCTAAGACTCCTGCATTAAGTTTGTAATAGTCTAATGGTGCACCAGTGTTAGTCAAATAGCCCTTTAAAATTGAAGGTATATAATAAGAAGTAGGATATTCATACTAACAAATTTTTCGAATACCATTCCACTACCACTCTAATCACCATTGGATTCAAAAGTTGTTTTTCTTTTCTCTCTCTTCATTCAACTTTTCCTCTAATCCAATGGTGATTAGAGTGGTAGTAGAAAAATTTGGTAGTATGAGTATCCTACCTCATATAATAATTGCAGTTCAAACCTAAATGGTTAAAAGGACATAACAAAAGACATTCACATGATACAAATACATAAAGGAAAGTAAATAACATAAAAGACTAGATGAAAAACACCATATTTGACAGAACAATATCATACCTGAGCATCGTACATAATGAGACCAGCATACACAACTGTAAGACCAAAAATGGGATCGGAGAAGCCTCTGCATTTGGAAATATACAATTATAAATAACACAAGAAGAATATTATATTTTTTCAAAAACAAAAATAAAATGAAATTTCAAGAGGATACATAGAGAAATGGCATGAACCGAATACCGAGCTGACACAACCAAATTTTCTTACCTCTCAAGGCCAAGGAATGTTGCACTAGCCACTGCAGCCTATCCAAATGAAAATGCAAACATCTTTGTGAGATTGACAGTGAAACCCCATTGATGAAAAATCAACAATTCAAGTGGCAAAGATGGAAATAGGATTAACTGATTAAGGTTTGCAAAACCATACAGAAGAGTGTGATGATGGGAACCCTCCAGCTTGAACAATTGCCTTGATATCAAACTCTTTGCCATATAGAAACACAGAAGAAAATGGCTTAGAAAGCTGCCCAATTGCCACAGAAGCACCAGCTGCAATCAGAACCTTAACAGCAGAGGATCATAGAAAAGAAAACAAATGCCAATTCAGCATATAACACAGCAAAACAAGAAGTGGGGTTGCTAAAAAGAAAAAGAAAAAAAAATCAAAAATCAAAACTTGAGAGAAACCGAGAATTTGTAGAGACATGCAAACAACAAATATCGAGATGGGGTACCTTGTTTTGTGCAATTTGAGCGATGTCATCGAAGAAACCAGCACCAAGAGAAGAAATTTTGAAGGTGGAGGCTTTGAATTTTCTAGGACAATGGAGGGGTAAGTGTTGCTGGTGAAGAAGTGGGTTCTTTTGATTCAGTGATTTGCTAAAGATAGAGGGAATCTGAGAAGGAGGAATGGCACAGAAGCTGGAATGCTGCAACATCATGGTCTCTCTCTCTCGTTCTGCACCACTTTCAGTCAACCATGAAACATGTTCTATTTAAGGTGCCGCAGGTACAGCATGTGATGTAAACCAGATTACTTTCTTCTTTTATTCTTATAAGTGAAAAAAAGTGGGTAATTTTAAAGGGTTTTATGTTTATCATGTAATATAACACAACTTCATTTTCTTACACACACATTAAAGAGGTGGAGTCACATGTTTTTTTTATCTTTCATCATTCCACTTTCTCTCTCCCTTTTGGTGTGTGTGTTGAAAACAAAACTTAACTTATGTAACATAACATTAATAAAACTCAATTTTAAATCACTCATTTCACTCTTAAAAAAAAATGGGATCCACTTATTTAAAAAAAAAATTCACTCATTCTCTCTTTTATGATTTATCTTTCTCTTATTTAAAATGACATAACTTTATATCTTTTAAAATAATACACATTTTTCCCTTCTTATAAATAGATAACGGGGTTAATGTTCGTACGAGATAAAGTTTTATCTCGTAATTGAGAATCATATTTTTTTTATCTCTTTTTTTTATATGGCCCAATTAATTTTCAAATATCTTTATATGTATATAAAACATATAAGTATATTTTATAATAAGAGTAATATTAATCACATAGATAATGACTTAATATTTTTTATGATTTATAAGAAAATGAAGTTATATTTATAAACTTTTTGTTTATAAACTACATTATGTCTGATCGGTAATATACTTTTGAGTAAAATATTATCAGTCAGATATGATATAATTTATAAATTTGTAAAAAAACAAATTATCAATACAACCAAGAACTTGATATATGAGTAAAAAAAATTATTTTTTTTAAAAACCAGCAAGATACCCCTATGTTTTATATGTCGCATTCTGTTCTACCTAAGACCTACTTAAGAACTTGATAGATATTCTGAATATTATTTTCTGATGATCAACATATAGAATTTATTTATATTATATAGACCTATATCAATAATTGTTTACCTAAAATAAAGCTAAATCTAAGGAAACAAATAGGAAACATATCTATTTTAATAATAGTAGATAACCAATCTAAAATATTTGCATAATTATTCTTGTTATATTTACAACAAACCTCTTCATTTTTCATAACCTGATGGATCAGATAGTACACAAGATGGTGAACAAACTTACATTGTCATATTGAAGTCGAGCATTTGATATAAAATATTTTAAAGACTAGCATGATAATTCCAATGTATTAAATACCTTCTCACAGTCAACTCCATTCAACTTCTTTTTTCTCTTTTCAATGAAATTTAAAATACACAATTGCGATAACTCCTTCAATTCATATAAGATTCACATGCTCTTTCCAAAATTTCTAACCTAGCTGAGCTATCTACATTTAGGTCCAAGGTGGTATTCACATGCCACCATTGTTTATTAATTTCTAAGGTCTGTATGTAAGTAAATTTTCATTTTTTTCCCGATGTACAGTGGTTGACATTATCATTATTGTAACATCCTCTATAACTGACTAGGATAGAAGATATCACATTAATTCTTAAGTGAAATTCTAATGCAACAGATAAGAAATAAGGCATATGACAAAATATTTATAATCTTTAATTATACAGAAGTCAAGTTCACTATTACATCAGAAATACATCATAATCTAAACTAAAGAGAAACATTTTCTTTTTATTAATTTTCTCCACTAAGCTCCATATAGTCTTCAAAGTCTTTAGCCATAGTGCTTTATCTTACTTCAGAGCTACATATACTGGTCTGTTTACTCTGGAAAGGTTAGCATAAAAACAAACACATGTGAGATAAATCTCAGTAATATTGGGGTTTTCGAACTATAACCAATCCAGCCACTTCAGTGGAATATATCATTCTCACATAATAAAATTTATAATAAGAAAATAATATCATAAACAATAAACATAAGCCCAACCTTTGTGGGTTCTTCATTCAGTAATACCCAAACCTTTGTGGGTTATACCCAAACTTTGTGGATTCTAGATACACATATAGGAACGTGTAATCTTTAACTGAAATGACTAAAGCTCAATTCTGGAGCGCCCAAACTCTGTGGGTTCTGTATGTGAAAGGTTCTGTATGGCGGAGCTCAAGCAATGATAAGGCGTCCCTTACCCTATAACCATTCTGATCCCCTTGTGGGTCAGCCACATCAGAATCACTCAGTAAAAGATTACATATTCTGATATTATCCGTTTGGTACCAAAGCAATCTTTTAGTTCTATAATCTTGTTATAATTTCATCAATAGTCACAAAAATAAAGATAGAAAGTAAAGTAAAGGAGTAGAAAGAATTCATAAAATAATTTTGGCAGAGTAACGACATCTTCACAACTTTTAAAGAAATAACTTTAAAATACCAACTTTCAACACAACATAGAAAAAAATAGAACCAACATAGCTTTTTAAAATAAAGGAGAGAATGAGTTGCTTACTCCAATATTATCTTTCCTTTTCTTTTTCTTCTTTCTTTCCCTTTTTCTTCTTCTCCCTTTCTCTCTCTCTCTCTCTCTTTCCTTCTTTCTCTCTCTTTTCTTTCTTTCTTTCCTTCTTTCTTTCTCTCTCTCTCTTTTTCTTTCCTTCTTTCTCTCTTTTCTTTCTTTTTCTCTCTCCCTGTCTCTTTCTCTCCTTCCTCTCTACGCAACTTTGTGGGGGGGGGGGGTTATATAGTTTTTGAAAAATGAATGTAATCATTACTTTTTATAAATATCTAAGGAATCTAATCATTACGTTTATAAATATCTAAGATATTTTATCAAAATATCAAAGATATTTTATTTATTACTATATTTTTTTATTTTTAAAATATTACATTTCCCCTCTCCTAATTAAAAATTTTGTCCTCAAAATTTAGACATACCTCATAAGAAAAATTTCGGGAAACTTTGTCGCAGTTCTTCTTCTTTTTCCCATGTAGCCTCTTATGGTGAAAGTCCTTCCCAACGGAATTATCCTATTTCTTAGTTGCTTTAAATTTGTATCAAGGATTTGAGCAGGTCTGGTCTTAATAGTAAGATTCTCTTTAACTTGTACTGAGTCTATATCAAGAATGTGAGAGGGATCTGGGACATACTTTTTAAGCTGAGAAACATGAAAAACATTGTGGAGATTGGAAAGATGAGGTGGAAGAGCAAGTTGGTAAGCAACTGGCCCTATTTTTCGAAGTATTTGAAATGGACCAATATATCTAGGACTCAGTTTCCTAACTTTGAGGGTTCTGCCTACACCTGTGGTAGGAGAAAGTTTAAGAAAGATATGTTCTCCTTCTTCAAAAGACAAAGGTTGTCGCCTGTTATTAGCATAATTTTTTTGTCTGCTTTGGGCCTTTTCAAGGTTTCCTTTATCATCTAAATTTGTCTCGAGGTTTCTTGGACTAATTCTGGTCCCATCAACTGTTTTTCCCTTTTTCATACCAACACACTGGAGATCTACACTTTCTTCCATAGAGTGCCTTATATGGAGCCATTCCAATACTAGAGTGATAACTATTATCATAAGCAAACTCTATTAATGGAAGGTATCTACCCCAACTACCTCCTTGTTCAAGGATGCAAGCTCTCAGCATATCCTCTAAAGTTTGAATGGTTCTCTCAGTTTGACCATCAGTTTGAGGATGATATGTTGTACTAAGTCTCAACTTAGTTCCAAAGGCTTGCTGTAAACATCCCCAAAATCTAGAAGTAAATCTAAGGTATCTATCTGATACAATAGGTACCCCATGAAGTTTGACAATTTCTTTTATATATAGTTGGGCTAACCTCTCAATAGAATATTGAGCCCTAATTGGTAGAAAATGAGCAGATTTGGTTAATCGATCAATGATTACCCAAATTGCATCGTATCCCTCTTGGGTTCTTGGTAAACCCATCACAAAATCAGTGGCTACACTTTCCTACTTCCATTCTGGTATGTCTAATGATTGAAGTAATCCTGAAGGCTTTTGATGTTCAATTTTCACTTTTTGACAAGCTAAACATCTTGAAACATACTCTGCAATATCCTTTTTCATTCCGGCCACCAAAATATCTTTTTCAAATCTTGATACATTTTGGTGGAACCAGGGTGAACTGTGAACTTACTGCTATGTGCCTCATTCAAAACTTCTTTCATCAATTCTTCCTTCTTAGGTACAATAATCCTTCCTTGAAATTTCACCAAATCATCTTTCCCTTTGGTAAATCCTTCATGTTTCAAAGATTTTTCTAAACTAGAATCTTCCTGCTGAGCTTTCCTAATTTTATCTATCAACTCATTATCTATTTTTATTTCACTAATACCCAAACTTCGAGGCAATACAGTCACAGATAATTCCATAACTCTAAATTTTTCCAACAATTCCATTTCTTTGACCATTAAATGTGACATGTGAAAAGATTTTCTGCTTAAAGCATCAGCTACCACATTAGCTTTTCCTGGATGGTATTTAAGTTCAAAATCATAGTCTTTCAAAAATTTCATCCACCTCCTTTGCCTCATATTCAATTCTTTTTGGTCAAATAAATATTCAAGACTCTTATGATCACTAAAAACCTCAAACTTGACTCCATACAAATAATGCCTCCATATTTTAAGGGCAAAAACTACTGCAGCCAATTTTAAATCATGAGTTGGATAATTTTCCTCATAAGGTCTCAATTGTCTTGATGCATAAGCTACAACTTTCCTTTCTTGCATTAAGACACATCCTAAACCCTTTCTAGATGCATCACTGTAAACCTCAAATTTTCCTAAAGGATCAGGGATTATTAAAATTGGTGCAGATGTCAACTTATTCTTTAAATCTTGAAAACAATCTTCACATTCTTGTGTCCAAACAAAAGGAACTCCCTTTCTAGTTAACCTAGTTAAAGGTAACACTAGTTGTGAAAATCCCTTAATAAATCATCTATAATATCCTGCCAATCCTAGAAAACTCCTGATCTCAGTGATAGTCTTAGGCCTCTCCCAGTGTATTACAGCCTCAATTTTACTAGGATCAACTGTCACTTCTTCTTTTGAAATAACATGCCCTAGGAACTTAACTTCTTCC